TAGATTCAGAAAAATGTCACATTCAATATATGGATACCGACAGCTTTATATATGACATCGAAACCGATGATGTATGTATATGAAGAAGTCATCAAAGCCGACTTGTCTAAATTCGATACATCAGACTACCCTCCAGATAACCCATATAACATACCGCAGGTCAATAAAAAGGTTTCAGTTTTAATGAAAGATGAACTGAATGGTGATATTATGACTCACCAAGTAGGCTTGAGATCCAAAATGTACAGCTTCAAGACCCTTAAGGGAAAAGTTGTGAAAAAATCGAAAGCCGTCAAAAAAAATATAGTCAAGTATAAAATTGCATTTGACGTTGATTGTTTGAAAAATTTCAAAGAAAGTACCGTAACGCAGAGAACCATCCGGTCTTTTCAACATAATGTGTTCAGCATTGAACAATCAAAAATTGCACTAAGCCCAGCTGACGATAAACGTTTCTTAGTGCCCAATTCCTTCGATACTCTTCCCTGGGGGCATTATAGTCTTGCTGTTGGTGACGAATTAAAAGCATTGTTATGTTGAGTGATGTTTTCTCTGTCTCTTACAGATGATGAGCAGCAGCAGCATCGATTTGCTTAGTGACTTGTGTGTCACTTCAGTATGTGCAAATGGCTCTAACCTAACAACATTCTTGAATACTGTACATCTACCACAAATTTTAGTTAGACAAATTATCCAAAAATATGCAAAGTTTCGCTGGGACCACATATGCCAACTGGCTCATAATAATAATAATACTAATAATAACAATATGGTGGAATAACCCTTAATACCTTTATTAACATGGGGAGACAAATATGTATCTACCTCTGAGCGAAATATAATTTTGGGTACAAACAACTGGGATTACATATTCGATGAAGAAAAATATTGTTTGTGGTTTCATTATTTCAAAATTGAGGATCATTATCATCATGGGTTTAATAAATTATATGTCTGTAGTTCCTGCCGAAATGGCTTTCAGAGGTTTCTTCAAAAAATGAGTAGTTTGTCCATTAGATTTTCTATTAAACGAAAATATTATTATGAAGTTCGCAACAGTTGCGATCTTATTTCAAATGTATATCAAAATAATTCTTATTGGTGTCAAAGCTGCTATTCCGAATTATTGTTTACGCTGTTGGATGAAGAATATTGTCATAGAATAATGCATTCCACTATATCAGGGCGTGGCAATAAAAAAATTCGTTTTGAAGGGTGGAATGAGACAGAAACTGACTCAGACGCTTGAAGTTTCATTTGTATTCTAAAAGTCATTATCTCTCAGTACTGTATTCTTAAAAAATAATATAATAATCTGGCTCTCAATCTCTTTCTTTCTCTAACTCGTATATGTATCTACTTTGTCAATTAATTTATAAGGTCAATAATAATAATTGTTTGTATATTTGAAATAATGTATTAATCTATCTCTCTCTCTTTAACTCATATTATTATGTATATATTATATCATTTAATCAATAAGGTCACTAATAATTGTATCTATTTTATTAAACTATAATGTTTTAATAAACAGTTCAATAATTATTGTATTTGATTTTTATTTTTTCGACAGCATCCTGTTATACGACACAACAAACTTGATACTACACTAGATCGTGACACTGACACACAGACTAACCCAGGTTGCTATTACGTCATCACAGAACCCGAACCATAAATCCAACTTCGCACTATGTACTCTAAATGGCGCCACGGACGTGACCCAGGTCGCTATGACGTCATCACAGAACCCGAACCATAATTAAATATACGTAGCGATTTCGAAACGATTCGGAACAATCCCTTCCACGCAAACTCCATATTACAGGAACCTGTGATTCCCCGAACCATAATTACATATACGTAGCGATTTCGAAACGACTCAAAACAATCCCTTCCACGCAAACTCCATATTACAGGAACCTGTAATTTTGCACCATTCCTGTCGATCAATTGCAAGAATTCACCACACTCTCCCACTATGACGTCATGACAGGTGACAGATGACGTTTGACAGATGACAGGTGACGTTTTTCTCCCTCCTTTTTTTCTGGTACCCATAATAAAATCCGGGGGGCCCCCTTTTTGGGGGGCAGAGCCCCGCTGGAGCGGGTCCCATCGCGTCTGTCGAGAAGATGGGGCCATGGTGGCGCATCCACCTTTGTGTCAACGACGGAGCATCCACCACGTGTCAAGAATGAAAGATTGAGATTATGGTCGGAATTTTATAGTCAAAGGGGGTATCTTTGACTATCTACTAAGCAAATTTTTTCTGCACGCTACTGTAGGTAATACCTTCAATGAGTCCTTCAATCTTTTCTCGGGGCCAAGAAATTCCACTCCATGCAAAAGTATAAGAAAAAATACTCATTCCCAAGCGAAACCCCGAAAAAGTCACTTTTTTAGGGAAAAATGTAACCGCTTTTTAAAAATTCGATAATTTGCGTTATAGCCAACTTTCGAAAAATTTGAGAAATTACTTTTTTTGGGATAGTCCAAAGATCTAAAAGATGCATAAAAAAAATTCCAAGATCAAAAATTGAGAATCTAAAAAACCATGATTTCCTTTACTCACCCTGTATAAGTGGATAAATGAAACGAAACAAATATACCGGTCAAACCTTGTGCGTGTTCTCAAAGAGTTGGTCAAGAACCTCTCGAATACCGCAACCCGATATCTCTTTCCGTTCCGCAAATATCGAGATTTGAATTTGGGTAAAATTTTCCATGTTGCAAAGCAACTGTCCACCAGTTTATTATTAAATCATCTGTAAAGGCCGGTTCTGTAGCACACATTGGTGAATTATCAAAAAATCTTAAATATAAGGAGCTCACAGACCGCTTTATTGAAACTTTCGGACCTTGGGGACATGAAGCGAACAAATTCATCAGTGATATTTCTTCAAAAATAAAAAGTGAATTTGCTCATAGTTTCATTATTCAAAGCGTTAGCTTGGCTGTTCAAAGAGGAAACGCTGCAGCAGTCCTGGGAACAATTCCTAAGGACCTAGGACTGGGAGAGATTTTTTATATAGGGTAGACCGGGGTAAGAGTAAAAATGGGGTAAGAGTAAAAGCGGCCGCCACGGTCAATGATCAAAGAATTTTCAACATTGTATCACTGGTTGCCTATGCCCTAGATCCAGACGAACGCGCATTAGTCATTTTTCACCAGTTGCGCGCGACCTTTGCTACCCCACCATACTGAAACTACTCTAACTGCTAAACGGTTCGGTGCTCGCGCTGTGTGTGTTTGTTTACATAATTTTGTGCCGGTAAAGCGGGCCTCACCCGGTCAATATTATTGTCAATATTTGCGATATTGACGACGATATTGACAATAATATTGACCATTCGAGGAGACACATTTTAATATTGTCAATATATTGAAGGTTTTTCACGATCCCGAAAATTTATTGGCGAATTGACAATATTTTGATCGTTCGAGGGCCATATTGACAATATTTGTGTCAGTTGCTCTGTGGTCATAAACGAAGAGACGTCGCCGCTATCTCCGGTATCACCGGCAGAGTCAATAGACGATACGAAAACAGACGAACATAATGAGCGCGAAGTATTAAAGACTTTTATCAGTGTGTATAGACAAAATCCGATACTTTGGAATACGTCATTGAAGGAGTATTCCGACAGAGATAAAAAAAATAAGTGCTATAAACAGCTAGTAGAAATATACCAGAAAATTAAAAAACGGGCTACAATTGAGGATGTGAAAAAGAAAATTAATTCGTTGAGAACAAACTATCGAAAAGACCTTAAAAAAATCAAGGATTCTCAGAGAACAGGAAGTTCCACTGATGACATTTATGAGCCCACTTCATGGATATTTTTGGAACTTCAATTTTTAAACGTGGAAAAGCTAGATAACACCAGATCTACTGTGCCTGAAAAAATTACGGTAAGCATATTTTATTTATATTATGGGACAACAAAAAACATCACTTTTAAACAAAAATTGTTTGCCTTGTTTTTATTATTATTTTATTTTATTTTTTGTTGTTACACATTATTCTTAACCCTATTCTATTTACTAAACAACATTATTCTGCCAAGGTATTTGGCCCTCGTTGTTGAAGTAATTTCGGTAGGTATCTCTGACTTCTTTTGCATTTTTGGGAGATTTTCTAAACGTGCCTCTTTGAAGGGGTGTCAGCTCCGTTTGTGATCTTTCACTTCCAACTTCACAGAGCCCTGTAGCCAAGTCTTCTGTTATTAAAATATTATTTGTGCAATAATTCTTGGAGGCTTTACGCATTAAAAAATTATGTAGATAGCAACATGCCAACGTAACAGTAGAGACTTTTTCCGGAGATAAATATATGGGTTTTTCAAAGATTCTAAATCTTGTACGAAGAATTCCAAAGGCGTTCTCCACTACTCTTCGAGCTCTAGAGAGTCGGTAGTTAAAAATGCGTTCAGATTTCGTGGCGTGTTCTCGATTATATGGTTTCATTAAATTGGTACCCAACGCAAAAGCATCATCTCCAACAAATACATAAGGGCAACTCACATCTGTATCTGGTAATTTTGAAGGTTTGGGAATATTTAACTTATTATTTTGTAGCAACTCCCAAAATTTTGTATTGTAAACCACGCCACCATCTGATACTCTACCATTTGTTCCAACGTCAACCATCAGGAATTCATAATTGGCATTTACAATGGCCATCAATACCACACTATGATAACCTTTATAGTTGAAATACCTGGACCCAGCATTCCGTGGTTTAATAATAGCAATGTGCTTGCCGTCTAAAGTGCCCAGGCAATTCCAAAAATTCCATTTTTTGCCAAATTCTGAAGCAACTTGTTTCCACTCCTCTTCTTTTAATGGAATCTGCAAAAAAAATAAAAAACTGTTTTATTTTCAGATCGAATCAGAAGATCAAAACCTCCCTTCTGCACAATCAGCAAAAAGGACAAAACAAACGCAAAAAAAAACACAAGAAGGCGAGTTATTATCTATTGCATGCAACTATCTAGCAAAGGATGAGAAGAGTTCCGAAAAGGATGAAGAACATTACATCGCCCAAGTTTGGGCAAACAAATTAAAGGCCTTGGAACCTAACCAAAAACTATTTGCCGAAAAAGCCATTAACGATATGTTGTTCGAAGCAAGATTGGGTACTCTTCAGAGAGACTCCGTAAAAATTAATTCTTCACATTATATGTCTCCAATACGTGCCATATCGGCTCAAAGCTGGACACCGTCCACCAGCCACAGCATGGGTTATTCAACTGTTTCGACACCTCTACCATCACCCCAATATCAAAATCTTGAAGATTCAGGAACACAACCACAGCAAACTTCTGAATTCACACAGAATCAGTCATTACAAAATTTTTATAACACCTTTCGAATTTAGGTTTATAATAATATAACTATATTTCTTTTTATATTACGTTAACTATATGTTGAATAAGTAGGAAATAAGATTTATTTGTAATCCATATTTTGCTTACCTTAATAAAGTCCTTTAAAACACAAATTATTGCTTCACAGGTTTCCATTATTATTTCGCTGGTTGTTGTTGGAGAAATCAATGTTGAAAATTTTAGATCTTCAAAAGATCTTCCTGTTGCCAAAAATCTTAGACACACAGACAGCCTTTCATGAGCTGATATTGCTTGTCGCATATTCGTATTTTTTTTTTCAATATATGGAGTAACCATATCCAGCAGTTCTTGGTATGTTTCGGAGTTCATCCTGAGGTAGTTCTTAAAATCATTAGGTTCTGCTTCCTTGATATAATCTAGAAGATTTACGTGAGTAAATCTTTGCCTCTCTAAAATCCAATCTTTCACCCAACGTCTTTTTTTAATTTTTTTCTTATTAATTTTACTTGCAATGTGCGCCAAAATAACAGCTATACACGCTTTACGTTTCATGTTTCTATTTCGAAAATTGGCTCACAAACTAAGTATTGATACAAATATTGATCGTATGAGGACTTTATTATGATATTGACAATATATTGACAATGTTATTGACCGTGTGAGGCCTACTTAAGAATTTTTGAAATAGATTAAGAAAAATTGCATTTGTGTATTTCCTTTGATCAGTTTTGTCCTACACATATTTATTTTGGCTTAATTTACTTCAACTTTTGTATCTTAGTCAGATTTACACTTACCCCACTCCAAAGTGACCTCGGGGAAAGTGTATATTTCGTTTTCGGGAAAGTGTAAAATTAGTTTTACACTTCCCCCTTAATTTTTATGATTAAAAAATGTTGTTAAAATTGGAAAAGATCCTGAAAGAATTCCGGAAAAACACTGGACTGGGACAAGGAAAATAAAACAAGCGTGTCACGATTATGATGCAACGTTAGAACTGTAGTTTATTGATTTTTTTTTTTTAACTGACAGGTACAAGAAGAGAGAGACAACAAATAATAATCTCATACATCCCAGAATATCTAGATGTCACTACTTGTATTACATTGTGAATTTCTGATATTCTCAACACCCCCACTTATCATAAATTCACAAACAATAGAGATACAAAATTTATTACTAATTAAACCTAAACCTTTCCGAAATTGGGCATTCTTAATATTTTGTAAAGGCTTTATCAAGATGTCCGCTATCATCTCATCAGTGGGTAATAGTATTTTACATTATTAGCCAGGTAAAACAGTTTTTACTGGCGATTGAAGGAAATGACTAGCGAGCCGCCAGGCGAGCTTGTCACCTTCAAGAGCCAGTAAAAACTGATACCTGGCGTATGATGTACAATAATTTATTTGTTACTCATTTGTAAACAATAAATAAAAAATTAATACATAGGTAATACAATTTTAATAAATAATTCTACTGACCCTACTGACTTGTAAAAAGTTTTTACAGTTTAGCTGTCAATTTTACAAGTCAGTAGAGCCAGTAACTGGTAAAAATCAATTTTCGTTGTTTATGTTAACAACATAAACAACGAAAATTGATTTTTACCAGTTACTGGCTCTACTGACTTGTAAAATTGACAGCTAAACTGTAAAAACTTTTTACAAGTCAGTAGGGTCAGTAGAATTATTTATTTTGGAAAACTCAGTTTTGTTTGACGAATACATATTAAAAATAAATTTACAATTTTGGTTTCCGGTGATATTAAATTTTGTAGATGGTGAATGGGTTAACATAGTTTTATCTGCTACTGAATCCTCAAATGAATCAGTTGAATTTATTGAGCTTTCTGATGCGGGAAACATTTTCTTCGAAATTTCAATTTTTTTATTGATGGAGTCCTCCACGTAACTTTCAGCAATCGTACTGGACTTCCAACCACCGGCACGTTTCAAAGTTAAAATATCACCGCCTGCATTTACAACCATGGTGGCCCCAGATCGACGGAAAGAGTGACCAGTATATAATTCCGGCTCAGGTAACTCCAAATATTCCGCAATTTTTTTGGGAACGCCGCCGATAGTATGCTGGCCAGCGTTAAGTGCGATACATTTAAAGTTGCGATATGTTAAGAACAGGCGCAAATTTTCTGCATTAACAGGGCGAAGAGCTGCGTATTTTCGATATAAATTGCAGGGCTGAAAGCTGCAGTCATCGTCCGTTATAGTGAATCTTCTACTGGTATGATTCTTTGTATTTCTCAAATTGACGATAATGTATTTTCCAGCATCCTCCACATCGTTCAGGGTTAAAGACAGCAGCTCGTCACATCGGCAAGTACCAAAGATTCCGAAAATGGTGATAACCTTGCATAACAACCAATTTTCGTCAGGAGCTTCTATAATAAACTGTTCAACTTGCTCCTTAGTTAATACTTTTGCCTTTTTCGGGACATAATTTTCGCTCTTCCTCTTTAAAAAAGCCAAAATTTTATTATATCTACAAAACAAACAAAAAATTAGTTATTTTGGTAATTCTGACCAAAGAAAAACAAACCTGTCAACTGGAATATTTTCTTTAATTTGCAGACAGCTTTTCAACATTGACCATTTTGACCATAAGCTATTAGGTTTGAATCTTTTAGCAAGTTGGTTAATATAAGTTAGTAAAACATCCTCTGTCACACCAACTACGGTATTCTTTTCTTGCCAAGTTTTGAAATTTGTATATTCTTGCTCGTACCTTTTTGAAGACTTCTCTGGTAATAAGCTATTTGCTACAACTGCGGCTTCTTTGATAATGGCTTCTGGTACACTCATTTTTCGAAGAAAAAAATGCGAAAAGCAAATTTGTCATCAAACTCAAAGCAAACTTATTTGACAAAACTTTGACAACTTATTTATAAACAACGACCTTAACAACGCCCCGTGGTCATAGTTATACAAACAATCAACAACCAAGGCTTGCATGACAAAAAAATTAAGGAAAAAATTATAAATTTCAAAATTGTTTTACTTATGCATTAATTTTTTATTTATTGTTTACAAATGAGTAACAAATAAATTATTGTACATCATACGCCAGGTATCAGTTTTTACTGGCTCTTGAAGGTGACAAGCTCGCCTGACGGCTCGCTAGTCATTTCCTTCAATCACCAGTAAAAACTGTTTTACCTGGCTAATAATGTAAAATACTATAAATCAATTTTCTTTTCTGCGAGAGCATCCCTTAAGAAATGATATCTGACATCTATATGTTTTGATCTATCGTGAGAAACTGGATTATTTGCCAATTTTTGGGCACTCTGATTATCATTATGTATAACTGTACAATCCAATTTTCCAGTCAAATCAAACAAAAGATTTTGCAAATATATAGCCTCTTTTGTGCCATCACTAAGAGCCATATATTCCGCTTCTGTGGTTGATACGGCCACTGTTCGCTGCTTACAACTTTTCCAAGAAACGCAACCCCCAGAAAGCTTGAAGACATAGCCCGTATAAGACTTTCGGTCCTGTTTGTCTGATCCCCAATCAGCATCAGCAAACCCAACTAAGCTTGAATTATCTTTGGTGAATTTCATGGAAAAGTCTATGCTACCTTTCAAGTACCTTAACAATCTTTTTGCAGATTGCCAATGTACCTCAGTATAGCAATTGTTATACTGACTGAGTAAGCTCACAGCATAAGCAATGTCGGGACGAGTCATTACTGCCAAGTACATTAGGCTTCCAATTAATTCCCTATATGGTACATCAGGATTACAAGTTTGACCCTCGACGTTGCTTAGACTGATACCACTATCCAATGGAGTACTAACTGTTAGTAATTCATTAATATAGTCTTTCTGATCAATAGTTATAAAGTTTCATTATAATCTCTAAGGATCCTTATTCCTAAACATTTTTTGGCTTCTCCAAGATTTTTAATTTTGAATTTTGAACTCAAATTTTTCTCAAGAAATGCAATTTCTTCTGAGTCGCCCGAAAAAACAAAAAATCATCTACATAGAATGCTATTACAGTTAACAAACCATTATTCTTTCTTTTAATATACAAACAAGGCTCAATACTTGACTTTTTATAGTCAATATCTAACAAAACTTGATCTACTTTTTGGTTCCAAGCTCTACTGGATTGTTTTAAACCGTATACAGCCTTTTTTAATTTAAAAACTTTATTCTGCTGATTCTTTAAAACAAAACCCTCGGGTTGTGTCATGTAAACATTTTCCTTTAACACACCATTGAGAAACGCAGTTTTAACGTCCAAATGAAAAATCTTAAGATCTAACTGTAAAGCTAATGCAATTAAAACTCTAAAGGTTTAGTGTCTCACAACAGGAGCAAAAGTTTCTGTGTAATCAACACCCTCTCTTTGAGTATAACCTTTTGCTACTAACCTTGCTCTATAATTAATTTTACTGTCACCATCACATTTCACCTTGAAAACCCACTTACACTGCATTACTGTTGTTCCGTGTTCTGGTGGGTCTACTAGCTCCCAAGTCTCATTCTCCTCAAATGAGTGCATTTCTTCTAACATGGCCTGCCTCCACTCTCGACCATCTGGTCTCGAAAGCACTTCAGCCACTGTTTTGGGTAGATCAGAACCATCTGGTGCCTCAGAAACATCACTTGCACACAGGTATGTGATGTAATCTTCAAATGATTTCTTTTTGGGAGTTCTCTCTGACCTTCTTGGCAACTCATCAAGAACTGTTGGAACTTCTTCATAGTCAGGGGCATAGTCACTGTCAAAACTTTCTATGAATGGCATGATTTCCTCATTAACAGATTGATCAGAAAATTCATCTGCCAACGATTCATCAGTGGTAATGTCAACCCCCACTGAATCGGCAACCTCTGTTTCAACTGGCTCACCCAATGAAATATTGTTTAAATTGATGACATTTTCCATAAACTGCACATCTCTACTTGTAATGACCTTTTTTGTGAGCGGGTTAAAACATCTATAGCCCTTAGTATTTTCGTCATATCCTACAAGTAGATGTTTTACTGCTTTAT